AAATAAGTAAAAAAGCAGCTAAGTTCGGTCGGGCCGAACTTTTAATACCCTCCGCCTTTTGGAAGGAACTAGAAAATGAAAACCATTATGTGGGGACTATTCGTAGATGTGGACCTACTTACGAAAATTTTTGTCATAGGCTGTAGTACCCATTACGAACTTTAAATTCGAACAGTTCCAGTGAATAATGTCGCTAAAATCTTTAAAATATCGGAAGGTACCGTTATATGGGAGATATACGAAAATGTGAACCTGCACACAGGATATGTTTTGTCATAGGCTGTAGTACCCATTACGAACTTCAAATTCCGATAAATAATGTCGCAAAAATCATCAAAATACCGAATATTTTGACATATTTAGACCGAATATTTTGACAAAGAAACGCCATATTTGGGTTCTGCAACAAATTTACCATTTTGTCCATTTTGTACTGCAAATTTTACCATTTTGTCGAGCAAAACTAATTTTTAGTGCAAAGATGTTTCTGTCTCAATTTTCACCGTAAATACGAAATTTGGGACAAACTTTTCGTAAAATGCTACCAAAAATTAAAAAAACCAAAAATTTGCAAAGATGTTTCTGTCTTAATTTTTACCATAAATATCAAATTTGGGATAAACCAAACCAATTTACCACTAAAAATTACGGAACCAAAAATTTTCTTTTCCCCATCTTCACAAGAGATATCAATATTGGTTACACCCCTTTAACCAAATATCTCCCAAGACCCCTGGACAAACATTAGAGTGATGCAAATTTGTACTTAAATGCAAACCATAGTGGCGTGGTGGCTGTTGGGTCATACATTATTCAATATTGACAGACCAAATAGATGAAAAACACCGTTATTCTATGGCCGCCAGAATGCAACTACAACACCGTCGATCTACAGCCAACCCATTAATGTTGGGGATACTCGGTGGCACAACAACAACAACATCTATCCGAATCTGATACCCGGCAATAACATTCAGGTCCTTATTGTTATTGTTACTATTGCACTCAGTCGTAGCTCGTTCCTCATTCAGATGCAATGCAATCCTCATGAATATGGAACGCATTCAAGGGACACTTACACACTCCAACACTGGCGTCATGTGGCTGGTGAAGTGAGTGGCACACAGACACACACACATACAGCCACACTTAAATTCATCTGCTGTGAATGTTTCAAATTTTTGCAACAATACAACAGCCAAATAAAAGACAAACGGAAACGGAAAGAGAACGAGAGTGGTCATGTACTACATATATGCATGCATATATAGCATGCGTGTGTATGGGAGAATCATATAGGTTTTTTGTTTTTCCTCCCAAAGTTAGGGGATTTTAAGTGGCACTTGGGAAATCAATGTTCCACTGTTTTTCTTTTCACCGGTGTTGCCTCATCTCCGAAAGCCGGCTGGCTGGCTGTGTGGCTGAATTGAAATGCACTGCATTTTTAGGATTCTGTTATATTTTTGGAAATTTGTTTCGTTTTCAATGGCCATGGTCGTCGTCAACGTTTTGCGCCAAAGCATTTCTAAACTTCCATGCATACACATGTATTTAAGAGGCACCCATACGTGTGTGCTCTTTAAGGTGCATATGCATATGTGTGTGTGTGTCTGACGTGGCGTGCAACATTAGCATAAAATGAAAGCGAAATGTGTTAAGCATGCCACAACAACGTTGAGGCTTTTATGCAAAGTGTGTTCAGACACGGCTACATTTGAACTCGACTCTCATACTTTTCTTGGCCATTCGCATTTGCAGCAAATTTTCATTGCCGTACCATTTCATGGCGAGACTGTAAAGTGCAAGAACAAAAAAATGCACTCTTTGATTACAATGTGTGTTCATGAGCCAGCAAAAAGCTGCAAAAATTAAAGCGACATAAATTACGTGTTTCCTCCAGTTCTTCTAATTTAAGTTGGCCACATAGGAGACAGTGAAATGTAATTAAATTCAAAGAATTCAAGAAGACAAATTAGTTTTGGTTTTGTGGATGAACATTTTTTAAATGGTAGCTTTTTCTAAAAGAGTTAGACATTCGTTGGTTGCCTAATGATGGATAACAGCATGGACTAACAAGAAAACTAATTTAATTTCAAAGAAAATAGGTAAAATACAACGCGGTAGTAGAGTCTTATATAGCAAATCAAATTTGAGTCTTAAAATATAGTCTTATAAAGCAAATACAATTTTATGACATGCACCAAAACAGTCATATTTTGTGTTTTTACCATTTTTTAGAACACGCACACACATATACAAACCTTGTGTATACTTTGACAGAATAACTGCCCCAAAAGGAAGAAAATATTTTTAAGGCGTAGTTTTTTCTACCTCTTTTTTTTGTACTTTGGATCCTATACATGTCTTTTATCAATACCTTCAATATATAAAATTAATAATATAGAAAATATATAACTAGCACACATTCTATTTACCAAAGCGAATGTATAGAATGTAAAATATAATGTATATCTCAAATATTGCCATTTACAGGCCTTCAAAATATATTAAATAAATGGAAAACCATCTGTAGTTAAAATTAAGTATTTGAAATTACAGAAAAGCTTTGGTAGATTATGAAAGTGAAGATAACACTCGTATTGGCGTTTTGAAAGTTTACTTCACAAAGTTTTATAAATAGAAGGGGGCAAGAAAAACAGGGATATTATTTAGGTGGAAAGTTTTAATCTTGAAAATCGGTTCAGATGTAGCTATAACTCCTATACGTCCAATACATCCAATCCATCTAATTTTTTATTATTTTAAGTACCTCACATAATAGTAATATGCACTTCACAACAAGGATATTTGATATCGGACATCAGATACAGCTCAAAATTAAGTTCCTAAAATTATTTCAGGATCGGTTCAGATTTGTATATAGCTCAGGTTTATTGTGCACCAAATGGCCAATATCAATCCAAATGACCTGAATTTTGGAACATCCAACCGAATTCAGTCTATAAGCAAGTACATCAAATTTGGTGAAAATCGGTTCAGATATAGCTATAGCTACCATATATATATATTTCATCCGATTTGGGGGTTTAAGTCAATAACATGCGTAATCTGCACTTCACAACAGGGATATTTCATACTGGACAGTTCGAAAATACCTCTGGCAAATTTTTCGAGATCGGTTCAGATTTTTATATACCTTCGATATACATGTTCATACGATTTTACGGTTATTGTCTACCATATATGTAATATCAGCCCAAATTGGGTAGATTTTTATACATTCAACCGAATTTTTCCATTTAGTGAAGGTTGGTCCCGTATATCTATTGCTCAAATAATTATTGTTTTTAATATAATTCTTATAGACGCCATATCATGCACTATACAGCAATGTTATTTGGTACTAGAGGTAAAAAGCCTCCGTTTGTTGAAAATCGATTCAGAGTTGGATAAAGTTCCCAAATTGTGCCATGATATGCATTCAAATAAGGTTCATATTTATTTGTTGTTAGGGGAGCTCTACTAAATACACATAGTGGTGTAGGGGATCATATAGTCGGCCGCGCCCGACTTTTAACCTTTCCTTACTGGTTTTTGACTTAAAGCCGTACTTTAAGTGAGTTTATGTAAAAATCTCATACAAAACATCATTTTACAAGGATGACTTCAAGGACAAAAATATTTTTCATCAAATTTCACTGTAAGTCACCAAAGAACAAAAATCTCTATTTTTACTGGATATCAAAAATTTGCATCAATGTTTCCGAAAATATTTCTACATTTTTTTCATCAATATGTTTTTTCGGCCTTTTTTCGAGTCGACGCCTGAAAGTAACATAGAATTTCGTTTTAGGCAGAAGGCATTAAAGGAAGAAATATTTTATGCAGAGTTTTATTGTAAAATTCATTTTAAACTTTATATCTAAATGCAATAGTTTTTAAAAAACTACATTCGAAATTTATGTACTACGAGTGAAAATTATGAGTTTGCTTTTCCTGTTAATTTAACGCGTTTCCAATCTAAGTCAAAATCTCCCTTTACACTTCATTTTTTGGGGAACGTGTAAAAGGGTGAATTGTTCTACATCAAATTTCATTGAGAGTCTCTGAACAAAAGAAATTTGTATATCCAACATGTACCACGAAAAAATATCATCAGTTTTTGCTAATAAAAAACCTTGTTCATTTTTGAAAAATTTAACATTTTTTCTTAATTGGCTGCAAATTTTCTCTTTTGAACTGGTTAATTGCCAGTCTGGATTATGGAGAATCCCAAATGGATCTGATACCTCTCGGTTTGTAGATCAAAACCCCAAAATAGTTTCGAGGTCTTAGGTTAAATGGTTTTAAAGCATATAAATAACCTTGACCATATACAAAGGTAGCTTCATATTTTGAAATATATTTGACAACATTTAATATTGTACTTTGAAAATGTATAAAGTGCTTTGAGCTTCTTTAAGAACCATTGGATTAAAAAAACATTACACCATTATAGACAATGTCAAATTATAAAAGTTTGTTTTTTTAATATGTATCTATGGGTGGATCCAATCGCCGATGGAAGTACTACTGATGTAATCATTTATGTTAATATTCCAAAAAAAGAAAAACATGTTATATCTCATTTGATAATTATGTCATACCTAAAGCAGAATGCATGGAGAGCCATTTTATTTTGTAAACAGCATGATTTCAATATTTTCATTTCAAAAACCACAATTTTGTAAAAAAAAACATCAGCATGTAGTGGAGATACATACATTCTTAGAACAATTCGACAAATATATGTTTTAGTTTTTTTTTTATTTTATTACATAAAAAAATAGTATTCTTTTAAATATTACAAATACACATACATATACACATTACATAAAGCATTTAATTGTCATTTTAAGTTTCCATCTCGCATATGTTATGCAAAATTGATCGAAATCTACCATTTCAACGTTTACTAATTTTCCTCTATTTTCTTCAACTGTGTGTGTTTTTTTTTTCTGCCATTCTCTGGTGTATCCCTGTTTTTGGGCTGTGTGCAGTATTTTTGGTCAACATTCCAGAAATTTGGCAATTCTCGTGGCCATCACATGCTGTCGGATAGAGGCCTGCAATATGGCTTGGATGTCGATCAGGAGGATGAGCCATTGAAAATAGTATCGCACATTACAACCAAAGACTTGCAAACTCCGCTAAACGCTAACAAGGCTTACACAAAACCAGGCAACCGAAACAATGGCAACGAAGTTGGGGCGCATGATGATGGGGATGGCGATGATGACGACGATGCCAGTGTTGATGGTGTTGACAATGTTGATGATATGGTTGACCAGACGGCGGATACAGCGACAAATGCCACCGATAACGAGAGACAATCAACTTTACATTTACCCCATGCCAGATGGCCGAATCATTGGTCAGATATACCACCGTCACACATGACTTCCACCAATACAGTCACGTACAAATGGCTAACAAGCCCATGGACGCCATGTTCACAGAAATGTGGAGCTGCTGGTTCCGGATTGAGAGTAAGTTTAACCCCCCATTAAGGGGGAGGACTATTGGGGTGAATGGGAGCTCCATTAAAACTCCCATACACAATTTATTTAATGTAATTGTCCTCTTTATTTAAAACATTTTTTATTTGTCCATTCATTAGCGACGCACCATTACCTGTATACGTATCCATTTAACCAACATCCCCAACCTCCACAATGGCGAAGAGGACAACGAAAATCTGCTCGGTATGGAGGCAACCACAGAAGAGACCAACGAACCGCTGGAGCAAGAAGAAGAAGTTGTGGACAATGCATTCTGTGAAGATTATGGCCTGGACATACCCGATACCTTTGAGACATGCGGTAGCGAGGAGTGCCCCCGTTGGACCAAGGGAGAATGGTCGCTGTGTCATCAGTCACGTTGCTTTGGCCGCAACACAGCCATCCAGCGACGTGAAGTCTCGTGTCGTTTTGCCAATGATACCGTATCTCGTCTATGTCCGGAATTCGAAAAGCCCATCAGTCGCCAGGAGTGCTACAATGAGCGTTGTAAGGGTGTGTGGCGTGTGGAGCCCTGGTCGGAGGTAAGTCGAAATCATTTTTTTCGATTGTTTTTTTTTTTTTTTTCTGTAAAATATATTAAAATTGATATGGTCTATAGAAATGAGAATTTTAATCCTATTTAAAAAAAGAATCCAAGCCAAAATCGCCATGCTTACCTTTTTTTTTTTTGGAATATTTTTTGAAATGGTCTGATATGCTATTTATAGGTATTTTGATTAAATTTCGAATGGAAATTTTGTCAACAATGTGATGCTTCCTTGAGTTGTGTTAAAAGAAAACTAGAACTAGATTTCAACATTTTAATCGAAAGATATTATTTGGGGCCAGTTAATACACCATTGTTTATACCCTCAGTCCTATGCCCTAAAACAGATATTTCGATTATATATACTTTATCATCGAAATATCTGTTGTAGACCCTAGGTCTGTTTGGAGTCGATCTAGCGATGTCCTTCCGTCCGTCTATCTTGTGCGTACGATAACTCTCGAAGGGAGTATCCAATTTCACCCAAACTTGCTGCATCGTAATATTAATATAAAACTATAATCAAGTTCGGAGATGAGCAATCTGGTCACAGTAACTCCCCAATAAGAGGTCGAAATTTTCAACAAAAATATTTTACTGCACAGAACGACAGGGAATGTTTGATTTTGCTGCTACTTTGCAAATCCTAATTTTTAAATCAGTGCTAGGTCAGGTGCAATAAATGGACAATATCGGTCCACTCCATCAAATATCTCCCCCCTCAAAATTTTGAATAATTATAACTCTAATACAATGTGATGTAAGAGTACTATTTTTATTTACCCAAGGTATGGAATATGGAATATATCGGTCCACTCCTTCTGGTACTTTCCCCACAAAGAGTCACAATTTTTTATATCCATGAAGCTTGAAGCATCTCAATATTTCCGTCAAGATCTGTTAAAAAGATGGTAGGTCGGATCGTTTCTTTTGGTTCCTCCCCCGCATAGGGTTTAAGATTTTGAAAAACAACAAAGCTAAAATCACCAGAAACCGAATATATGGAGTTACTATTATATGGGGGCTATACGGAGGCTTATACCTGCACAGACAATTTTCTGTCATAGGCTGAAGTATCCATTACGAACTTCAAAAACCAATTTTGAAACCATTCCGGGGAATAATGTCGCTAAAATCATCAAAATACCGAATATCGGAAGGTGCCGTTATATGGGGGCTATACGAAGGCGTGGACCTGCACGAACAATTTTCTGTCATAGGCTGAAGTATTCATTACGAACTTCAAATGCCAAATTTGAAACATTTTCGGTGAATAATGTCGCTTAAATCACCAAAATACCGAAAATAGGGAGTTACCATTATATGGTGTTCTAAATCAAAACGTGGACCTACATGGCCTACATTTTCAATATCAAAAGTCCACCAGACATAATATACATTTGAGTAAAATTGTATCAATCTACTTCATTTCGTTCGGAAGCTAGAGTCATTTCCACAGACGGACAGACGAACGGACATCGCAAAATCGACATAGAATTTTATGCTGATCAAGATTATCTATACTTTGTGGGGTCAAAAATGTATATTTCGAGGCGTTACAAACGGAATGACAAACTTAACATACTCTTCATACTGTGGTGCAGGGTATTACAATGTGTAATCTGGCCGTGAACTTAAATGGCACCATTATATGCGGAATAGACCAATGCCTATATTGGGACACTTTTACAAGAAGATTTCCTATCCCCAAAAACCATAAACAAAAGTTGGATAATATCGCTATGTGAGGCCTCGACATTGGGAACCCCGGTTATAACGAAAAATTCTGACTTAAAAGTGTTCTATGCGCCGAAATGACAAAAACGTCAATCGCATCCAATTTAATTCAGAATTTCAAATATTCTATAATCAGAAGATATATGATGGGTACATTTTAGCAGGGGTTACAAATTTTTGAGAGAAGTGCTACTCCCTGAGAACAGAAAATTCGAGAAACTCCGATTAAATATTTTGTCAAATCGGAAAATATACTCGGAATCAGGGAACACCTCATATGCCAACCCCGAAACCGAAACCTACAACTTTTGTACACCTTTACCCCCGTTGACCACCAAGTTGGGAGTAATTAATTTTGAAGGTGGAAATTCCATCAAATCAGCAGATCATTAGGGACTTGATTTAGTGGAATATCCAGCCTTCAAAAATAATTACTCCAACCTCTAGGCAAACGAGGGTATATATCACATCCTATGTTTTTAAAATATGTCCCATGAAAATATAGGGTTTTGTCTGCAATACTTTTCGACAAACCCCTTTTCAGGACATTTTATTTGATTCTAAAGGGAGTATCTGATTTGGCCCCTGCGTTCCCAAAAGTAATATTTTTTTATAAAATTCAGAGCAAATTCGATGACGAAATTCATTTTTTTATTCTGCCAATTTCATGCATTCTTTGGTCCAAAATATGCTCATAATGTAACATATAAAATTATATATTCCTTTAATCCCAATTTTTTTTTTTTTTTTTTTTTTTGTAAAATTAAGCTCTTAGTTTCCCATCGCTGTAGGACGATATATTGTCGACCCATTCCATTTTCCCCATTTCTTTCCAACTCGTTTGGCATATTTTTGCCGGTTTTGTCAATATTTTTTCTCCACTCGTAAATTGTTGAGTTCGTTTGTTTTTATTTTCTTATTCTGCTACTGCTTCTTCTTCAACTTATTCCTATTTGATGATATTTACAGTGCAATGCTCCTTGTGGCCGCCAGGGCATCAAATATCGCATACTGCAGTGTGTTTGGTATGGCACACGGAGACCAGCGGGCAATGCTTGCAAACATCAAAACCGACCTGCAGTAATGAAAGTCTGCAAAAGTCCACCCTGCTATGCAAAAGGTAAATAAAGCAATACTCGATGTCCGACCCCCAATGGGACGGTGAAATTAAAGACAGAATAAAATAAAAGGAAGAAGAAAAAACACATCTAATTGGTATTGTTGTAATGCTTTCTTTTTTGTTTCACAGCCATTGAGCGATGTAAAGATACTTCACGCTATTGCCGCAATGTACGCTCTATGGGATTGTGTCGCTTGCAACGCTACCAGGAGAAATGCTGCAAGTCCTGCAAATACAATAGCATTCCAAATTAGCATTTACTGTTTAACAATAATCTACACCTGCCATATAATTTGTATTTCCACCACCATCTGCAGCAGCATCGGCATCGGCAGCTTCCTATACTTCGTTATCATGGTCATCAATCTCCACCTTCGGAACTCACAGATTCAGGCACAATTTATGGTGAACCAAGGTATGTAACAACTACGTTATGGTCCGACCAAGTCATCACATAACCAACACTTCTTGGCTAAAACGCTGGAGGACGACATGTGAGTCCAGATGCAGGAAATGTCTGTCACTCGCACACACAAAACAAGCAATTATAGTTAATGAAATAAGAAAAACCAAAAAACAAATGTTTAAATTATACAACAGTTTATTATAATTTTTGATAATATTTTTAAAACAAAAAAAAATAACAACAAACTTATAACAAATTAAGCAAAATTAAAAAAAAAAACAATTAAATAGAAAACAAAACAGACGGAACAAATTTCCTACAAAACAAAGCAGAAAAAAACTCAATATTTAAGATGACAACATTAATTGTTACAAATTAAGGCTTAATATACATACACAGATAAATACATACGAAAAATGCAAAAACAAAACGAAATCTAGCATACATACATATAATTAACCTCTATCACTATACTAAGATTTCAAAAATCGCCGCCCTTTCGTTTCGTCAAGAAGAAAAAAAAAAACACACACACAAATTAATTAGGTGTCTCCTTACCCCGAAAAAAACAAATGATTGCCTTTGGCTTCTGCAGTAAAAAAAAACGTGAAATGAACAAAAGTAACACAACAAAGACAAAATTACGAGAAAATCATAATGTCAAATTATTAAGCTTTATGTTTATATATACACATATATTATCCTAATAATGTATTCGTTTTATACAAACAAAACATTAATCCTCGATTATTATTTTTAGTTTTAGATCTTAAATTAATATTTTTGTGGGAGCGCAGATGTTGTTTGTTGAATGATATTTAAATTTACGATAAAAAAAAAATTTTAAAAAAATTATTGATATATGGGAAGGATTAGAAACTATATCTCTAAAAAATGTATTTAAAAAATTATTTTTAAAAATATGTAATTTCAATGTAAATCTCAGTAATATTATTAATTTTACAATTTATTAAATCCTGTAAAAATTGTACTGATAAATATATAAATTTATTTTTTCCATAGGTAATAACCCGACAATTTTCCAAACCTAACGATAATTTCTTGATGTAGACCTTAAATTTGTATTCTTTGGATAGAAGGCCTTCAATGTAGAAAGAAAATTTTATAAAGATAGAATTTTTTCTAAAAATTTATGCATGCTTTCGAATATTCTTTATACAGGCTTGCCCATACTGAGAACGGCGTTTTTGGGATGTTCTTGGGGACCTCTCAACACTGGCTCGTACGGCAGCGATATTCTCGGCCGATCGCCTTGGTCGACTTTTATATGGGCTCTTCGGATTAGAAAGAGCCTTACCAGTCGAAAATTTTTCGTATAAATGCTTAATGGTGTTCTTAGAAGGCCACTTCTCACATTTTTTAATGTTTTAAAAGCACGATAAGTTTTTGTAAATTTCAACTATTTCAGAGCGCTTGCGTGTCGTGTATTGGTTCATGATAAAAATCTGCTTGAACTGACGCTTCAAACGCGGTATGTCATTAAGCGATGTGACATCTCTGTCAAAAGTTATGGCGTTGCCAGATGGGTCCGTCGAATATGGGCAACCCTGTAATTCTACAATTTTCCCAAAATTACTTTCAATTTTACAACTTTCGATATATTTTCTTTCCTGTTATTCCTTCAAATATATTCCATACAATCCATGATTAACTCTCTTAAAAAAGAATCCCTAAAATCTGTAAACAAATCCTCGAAAAATATTCATAAATCCTATGTTTAAAGCATTGATGGGGTTTCCACAAAAATGGTAGCTCTGGCACATCTGTATTCTTAAAAACTCAAAACTTATCCCAGTCTTACAATCAGACCTCCAAAAAGTAGTTATGGGTGTATAAACAAGTGGAAAATCCATTTTACGAATTCGCTCGAATAGGGGCGAGCCTACTTTGTCATTTTAGAGTGAGAGCAAAATTCCTCTAAAAACGACCAGATTCAACTCTAGCCGAGCATTTTTTTTAGTTTTTGTCATACTGTTGCTGTATTTTCTCATATCATAGCTGTAAACGAAACAAAATGAAATATTTTCAAAATCCTTGTGGCTAATTTATACCAACAAAGCTTATGATGGCATTATTGCTTTCTTAAAAAAATCAACCGGTACCTTGCTTCTACTGTTCTACGATTTTGTACACAATCTCTCCCACAGTTCACAGCCACATCAAATAAGCAAACAAACTATTTTCCACTCGATTTCACACTTAGAGCAATCTTTCACTCAATTTCGAGCGATTCTGCTCCCTTTCAAACTGGAGTGACTCGAGAGCTGTCCCACACAAAACAAAAGGGTGAATAATAAACTCCGTATAAATCTCCCATTCATCGAGCAATCCCGTTCACGAGCAGGTCTCCGGAGTAAAATCCGGAGAACTTGTGATCTGCTTACAATAAAATTAGATTTTTCACAGACAACCGTCAGATATCGTTAATAAAAATATTCATTGACCTTTCGAAAAAAAATCTAATAAACCCAGCTTTGATAAGTCCTTATATTTTTTAGAAATCCTAAATTATACTGTGCGACTATTTCAGGTTATGGTCTGGGGGGATGGGAAATTCCATGTGGAGGTGATAGTATTAGGTTAGTACATCAAAATCCCAAAAGGGTTTTGGATTCCCAGACCAAAACCTTTTTTTTTTTTGGGCTCATTATATGTTGCCTTAACCATACACGAAGGGCCTCACATATATTTTGCTCTATACTTCGCAAATTGAAGATAGAGCAGGCCTTTGAGTCAAATGTAGAATAATTTGTACAAAATTTGGGTCATGTCGGTTTACATTTTAATTTAGCCCCCTATATAACGATATACCCAGATTTCAGGTACTTTTTTTTACAAATTTTGTTAATTTTAGTTCTTAGAAAGAAACAATTCTTGGAAAAAAATTATCAAGATAGGCTCAACTAGTGGTTTAACTCTCATATAAAAGTATCTTCTGATTTCAGGTATTTGCGGGGACTTGGCTACATGAATTTGGATCCTATTTTTCCTCTTGGTTTTGGTTTGGGGTTACAAACGTCCTTCGCTGAAAATGTACAATGTACCAAGGGTCTGAACACATTTTCCATTTGATTTGGCTAAAAAATTGTGTATGTAGGATGCTATATGTGTAAATAACAATCTTAAAGAAAAATGTCAACATATTATATATAGACCCACATAACAGTACCTCCTAGATCAATTTATTCCCAAAATTGTATTTTTTTAAAACTTACAACTAGAGTATAGACAAATTCTTGAACAACAAAAACTTTAATTTTTTTTCTGGAGAAATTATATGTCGACTCTCATTTTTGTAAGTTCACGACTTGAGATATATTCATTAAAATAGTTATTGTGTCCTTGCTGGTTAAAAAAAATGCTGGAAAATCTTCAAATTTACGAAAAAATTTTATTTAAGACCCATTTAACAACCATAATTCAAATCTCCTAAAACTGTGGATTTTAAATTTTTTAAAAAAAAATTCAGTGTTCGCAAGAGCACTTCAATCTGATAAATAAATTAGGTCATATTGAACCCAACTTTTCGTCACTTAAGTGCTCGCAAGAGCACTTCAAATCTGAATAAATTCGGTATTATTGCACCTAACTAAAAAAAAACTTTTGACTTTTAAAATAAATTTCGAAAAAAGCCAACACAGTTTTTGTCACTTGCTTTAAATTTATTCAATGACTATTCATTGTCCTTGCGGCCAAAGTTCATGCTATTTTAATTGCCTTAAATTATTCATAGACTTTGTTCTCTAGAAATTTTAATGAATGCAAAATTTCACCGAATTTGGCCTTTTTTAAAAATCCCAATGTCATTCAACAAAAAACATTTTTCCTCCATAAAATATATAATAATAGAAAAATTAAATATTAAAGAAAAATATTGAATAATGTTATATAAATAATTTGTAGTTAAATGCCTATAAGCACTGTTAACATAATAACAAAAAAAAAATAAACAAAAACTAATAATTTGTAAATACAATGAAATTCATACGTACATAAGTTAAATAAACACATAAATGATATAAGAAAAAATTATTATAAATTAATAAAAAAAACAAGCAACAAATGAAACGATTAAAGTAAATGCAATGCCAAAACAATTCATACCAAATGAATAACTACGAAAACAAAGGAACAACCGATTACCGAATACTCGTATATTAATGCCACCAAAAGCAGCTAAAAAGAAATGAAATAAAAAAATATTAGAAATAAAATAAAAAAATATTCAACAAAACACAATAATAATAACAACAACAAAGACTAAACATAACTTTCTTTTTCAATTATTCAGCTGCCATTTGTGAAACGAAAAAAATTGCTTTTGTCCTAAAAAAAAAATAAAAAATTGAATACTTCCCTATGCTCTTCTTTTTGTTTGAAATATGTACCTGTTTAATCATTGATATATAAAAAAGAAAAGAACAAAAAACACAACAACAACAAACACAATCCCTTGGAAAAACATTTGTACTTTACTCGTTTCATATAAACTAACCAAAACATTGCTTAAATATTATATTTATTTTATAAAGAAAACTATTTCTTTTCTCTAATTTTTCTTTGCCTAACTATTACCAACATTTATTTTTAATAACATAAAAAAATAAATTTGTTTGTAAATATACTTATCTACTCCTATGAATCTCTTTACATTTTCAAATTCTTTGTTCCCCTTCAAAAAGAAAACAAAAATAATATTAACCCCTAAAATTAGTTAAAAACAAAACAAAGTTATACTTTAAACATAAACGAATATAGCAAAGATAATTTATGATAATATAAAAGTAATTAATTTAAACAAAATGTATAACTAAGTGTTTTATAAGGAAACAAAATATTTTTTAGTTAAATAAATGAAATACATAATACACAAAATAACACATTATCCTTTGAAAAGACAGAAAAATATTTCATAAATAAAATTGGAAAGCAAGTTTTGAAAAGTTTTTTTTTTTTCGAAAAAAATATACAAATTTGGGTGCTTTCATGAAAACGTCGATTCCAAATTTATTTATGAAATATCTTATCACTTTTTGAAATATTTGTAAAAACTGTATTACATATAACAAACATTTTTATTTTCTTTATTTCGCTCCCAAAAATGCTCATAGTATTGTAAAGATAAAAAAACATAAAAACACAATTTATTTTAAATTTTTATTTTACATAGGCGTCATCATTATTATTTTTATTTAAAATACATATTTCATAATGAGTTATGTGTTGAGAAAAGGTCATAGAAAATAAAGGAAACTAAAACAAACTAAGTTGTAACACCATGTTGTTTTATCACAATTACAGGGTGTGTGTGTGTTTTCATTGCCGTGGATTGTGTCTTTACTACAAAATATAGCATTGGATTCAGTCTAGGATGAGTACAACTCGGCAGCATTGTTTAGTAAAACACATGTGTGTGGAAACTAGATATAATTTTACTTGGGTTCCTTAAAGTTGACTCTGAAGTTCGCTTCTACAGTGTTGTCAGGCCAAAAAAGTGTTATTGTTTTTATAATGAAATCTGCTGCTGCCTAATTCTGGTTGCCTGGTATTTTGAGAAATAGCAAAAAGTGTGCATTTCAGTTTCTTGTGACGTAACAAGGAAAAAAATCATATGATTTTTCTTTTCATTTATTATTCTTTTTTTATGTGGCGGCGATACCGATTTTGTGATAAAAACGATTAAACGCTTAATTAAGGACCCCATTCAGAGGTATTAGATACGTTTTTGTTAAATTATAACGAAAATGGACTTAATTAACATTGAGTAGGAAATTTATTTTCTAGTTTTTGTTATATAGACATAAATAATTAAACTTTAATACATATATTTCCAAAAAAAAATATGAAATATATGAATTAAAGTCATGGGATGACTGACATATGGGTTCCAAATGAAGGATTGCCTCTGGCAAATACAGGATGAGATGAAGAACTGCAACCAACTTCAGACTACTGTCATTTTTTAGCCACTCGTCCGACCACTGTTAAAATTAGATACAAATCCGTTGGACTATTGTGTCTGGAGTATTTTGGAAAGCAAGGTTGGCACTAAAAAAATACCAAAGTGTCGATCACCTCAAGCAAAAGCTTCGCCAGGAATGGCCCAAAATACCGCAGAGCAAAATTCGGGCAGCGTGTGATTGTTTCATTGGCCGTTTGAACAATTATGGAGTTTGACTTTGTTGCAGTTTTTTTTATCTCATTGCATTGCAGTTTAATTATGCAATAATTAATTCAATTACAAATAATATTCAAAACAGTTTTTCCGGTGCATATTAACGTTCCAGATCCTCCTTTGATTTCCTGCTTTAAGTCACTTTCACAATAATTCTGAGTTGTTTCGACTTGGACTGACGTAGGGGACCTAGGCTTTTGGAATATTTCCTGATGACTGCTAATTTAAACGTTTTCGAAGTTAAATTTTCCATAGGGACGCCTTCGACGAATTAATGGGAACTTTGGTTGTATTGTATAATTAACAAATATATGGGAATATTTCTTTTCCGCAATTTTTGAATAAAAATAGTCAAATTTAATTCCATTTTTGTTTCATAAAAAGAACGAATTAGAGGAAAATTTGGATGGGGAGAGGCCAGAAAACCCTGGGCGAGAAATGGGGCTTCTTTCCGAAACCATGGTTGTTCCCCTGTTATATATACATAATATGATTATTATTATTATTATTATTATTATTATTTAATTTTTATCCACCAATAAATAAATAAAATTATGGTAAAATATTATTATTGGTTTTCTTACAATATGCAATTAAATGAAGGAAATGGGGAGGAAAATGGGTAGGAAAAAATAATATTCATCAAGGTAAAAAAAATAGTTAAGTGGTAACAAAACATGAATTTTTGTAAAAATACCAGGCGCCCAGAATTTGTTAGTAGGTATCTAATACGGAAAAACAAAAATCGGGGCGCCTGAAAGTATGCTCTGGATTTTGGTGAACCAGCATTGCCAGATCAAAATAATTTTTCACAATTTTTGGTACGGTATTGCCAGAACAAATTTCACAGCATTGCCATATCCAAATGTTAATACGCGCCTGAAAGTATGCTCTGGATTTTGGTTAACCGGCATTGCCAGATTGAAAATAATCGCAACTTTTTACGGTGTTGCCAGACTCAATTTTTTTACTTTTTTTATTTTAAGTATGCTGCTGCTCAATTCTGGGCGCCTGGTATTTTGGGAAATTGCAGAAAAATGTGTTTTCGGTTTTAGCGTGACGTCATAAGGAAAAATTACGTGACCTTTCTTTAGACATATACTTACGATGTTAGCTTCCATTTAGTGGTAAATAAAAACACATTTGTAGATTTTGATTTTATTATTTATTTTATTTTTATTTAAAAATTTAATGTAAGAAATTGTAGTTATTTAAAGTATTTTAGAATATAATATAAAAAAGTGGCGTAATTGTGGAGCCCCAATTTGCCAACATTATATGTGGAATTTTATTTCGCTGTCATCTGCTTTGAAATTCTTGGGGACCAGGAATTTTCTGCAAATTTCTGGTAAATTGAAAATGGAAAAAGATTAACAATTAGTGTGAGACTTATTTAAATTTTAAATTTATATTTCTTAAGTCTAGAGTATTAATATATTATTGGCGCTTTTACAAAGAGTAATGCTTTTAAAAACGAAACTGACAGCCTTTCAATATTTGCCGATCTTTACCAATATCATGATTTCATACCGGCGAATGGTCATTTGGTCACTTATGAAGTTAAGCCAATGAGGGAATACTCCAGACCTAAGCAATCAACTGGTTCAACAATAATCATATCAATTTTGAAAATTTTATTTTCATGTGTAAATCTGTAAACGAATGAATAAAATTAAGAAAATAAAATAAATAAACAGCTGAAGTTTTGAAATTTGCAATTTAAGTATCTGTTAATGGGTGGGGCATGGTACAATAAAAAGGTGATGTATAACTGATTCATTCATTTTTCCCGATGTATAACCTACTTTTAAAAATGAGGAAACGTATTGAATAAATGAAAACAACTTGTTGCATGTAAACTTGACATAAAAGAAAGAACAGTCTCAGGGCTGTAATTCTGATTTTTTAAGATTTACGAACCTGTTTGTTTTTTGGGGGTTGGTGGGGTGGTTTTCGAAAGTTTGAATCTATGGTAGGTACAAAAACTACTAAAAATTGTAAGGTTACTGAAATGTATCACCCATTATTGAAATGCATCAGATAATGTGTGTGTTTTTTTCTTTTGTTTCAATTTTTACTGAAGGTTACTTAACACGGAAAGGGTATTACACGTTCCTCCATACTATCAAGGGTATATTAGGTTATATACTGTCGTTCCTTTCTTAGACCCCACAGTGTATATATATTCTTGATCAGCAAACATTTCTACGTCGATTTAGCTATGTGAAAACCATTCTAACCACCGAACGGGATGAAATATGCGAATACAATTTCAGGACCGTAGGAATGTGTTTTATGACCGCAAAATTTTTGATAAAAAGCCATATAGGTCCATGTTTTCGTATAGCCCCATATATCAGTTCCTCCAGATTTAAGGTTTTTTGGGTTGTTTTATTTAAAATTTTAGACCAAATTTGCTGTAAATTGAATTGCAAAGAACTTTCCATATGTGACTAAGTTTTGGTATAGTATATTACTTTAGTTTTCGATATTCGGTAATTTGATGAATTGTGTGACTCAATTTCATCGAAATTATTTTCATATGGTATTTGTAGTTTTTAATGGGTACTACCATCTATATCGGAAAATTGCTTATGCTGATCCGTTTACTTATATATCCATATAACTTTAGCATCCGATATTCATAAATTTTGATGGTTTTATCAGTATTTTCGTCGAATTTTTTGATTTTGCCAATTTCTAATATTTTAAGTCCAGACCTGTCAGAGTTTATCTATTTTTTACAAGTTTTTATACCCATAAGTTTGATTGGGCCTAAGAGTTTGTAACACCTCGAAATATTGGTCCGAGACCCACCATGTTGTGTATCGATTTTTCTTTGCCGTCAAGCTGAGTTGATCGGCCGCCCGTCCATCTGTAGTCACTCTGCAAGTCACTATTACAGACCGATCTTCACGAAATTTGGCTTTGGGTTAGGTTTAAGGTCAGTATAAAGACTTTTGTTTTGGGGATGTTCGCAAAATATTTCTCAGTCGCTCTACAGGTCACAATTATAATCTGACCGTCTGTAATTTTATGTGGACTAGAGTTTAAGACAGGGTAGATGTTAATAATTTTGGATTGATATTTAGCGGGTGAAATTGGACAATTACTTTTTTGTGAGACATCCAAAAACGATATGAGCTGAAATTTGGAATGAGAGTCACTTATGGAGTGCACTGTAGATTTTTACGAAAAGTTCAAAAATTATAGTAAATTTCTAAAATGGTACCATTTGTATTAAAAACTTGAAACTTGGTATGAGAATCAAGGTTGGAAAGTAAGTTTTATATATGAAGATGGTTTTATAATGTTAGTACACATTTAAACTGTTCTAAATTTGTGAACTGTACTAAACTTGAAACACTTTGATTTAGGGTGAACGGATGAAGCAGGAATTTTGGAATGTTGTATTGGTGTATTTTTTTGGTGGAAGGTTTGTGATAAAGAGTTGGTTCTAGAAATATGTACTTCCAGTGCACCAAAAGTACTAAATAGTACTATATTTGGTACAACTTGATATTAATTGAACAGAGAGTGCTTGAAATTTGATACTAGGGTTGCTGTTCATGGATGTGGTCTGGAAATGTGTACAATAATTGTACGAAAAGTATCAAATAGTACCAAGTTTGTTTGGTTTGGTTGAAGGGGTAGGGATTGTACTTGGTATTGGGCTCATCCACTTCCACACGTTTGGAAAAAGGTATAGATCTGGAATCCTCCAATTACATATGGATGTCACTGTTGGTGTTTGTGATTGAAAGAAAGAACAGGTTATGGAGATGCGTACTATAATTTGATGAACGGTTGGAACTCAAAAGTGTGACATGCTTCTTATAGGTAAAGCAAAGGTCTACAGCTCAAAGACCTCTCTTTTACCAAAAACCAAAAAAAATGAAGAAGTAGTTACTTTGTGTTACAGTAAATTTGAGCCATAAGAAGAGACGATTTGGAGTAAGAACTACGTATTTTAAAGACTGGAAATTATTTTCTTTCCTAAAATTTTTATGAAATCTGCGAAACCACAACTAAATGCCGTTTTTTATACCCTCAGCCATATGGCTACAGAGGGTATATATCATTTGATACGGTCAAAACGTGCCTAGTCGAAATAACGGATTTAAACACTAAGTCTCTTTGGACCATTTCAGGACATTTGGAGTCGATCCAGCGATGTCCGTCCGTCTGTCTGGCTGGCTGGTACTCTCGAAGGGAGTATCCGATTTCATCCAAAGTTGGTACATCATAATATTATTTTCAAACTTAGATCTAGTTCGGATATGGGCAATATCGGTCCACTCCTTCTGGTAACTCCCACACAAAATGTCAAAATTTTTAAAGAAAATAATTTATTGCACAGACACAGAAAGAATAATCCGATTTTACTCCAACTTTGCGAATCGCAATATTTTCATCAGTTCTAGGTCAGGTGCGAAAATGGACAATATCGGTTCACTCCATCAGGTACTTGGGGTAGGTCGAAATTTTCAAAATATATTTTTTGCAGAAAAAGATATGGGATAATCCGATTTTGATCCAACTTTGCGAATCGTAGTATTTTCATCAGTGCTAGGTTAGATGCGAAAATAGACAATATCGGTTCACTCCATCAGGTACCTCCCCCACAAAGGGTCAACATTTTGAATAAATACAATTTTTATAAATGCGACGTAAGAGTCCGATTATCTTCAAATTTCGTACATCCCAATAATTTGATTAACCCAAGGTATGGTGCCAAGATGGAATACATTGGTCCATTCCCTCTGGTACCTCCCCATAAAAATATACATATATATATATTCTGCACAGAAAGAGAAGCAATAATCCGATTTTGTTCCGACTTTGCAAATCCTAATATCTGTGTCAGTTCTAGGTCAGGTGCAAAAATGGATAATATCGATCCACTCCATAAAGTGTTTCCCCCACATAGGGTAAAAATTTTGAATAATTAATGGAACGGAATGTTAACATTTTCAAAAAATTATCACATATGTCATGTAAAGTGAAGGATGTTGTCGATATTGTCCAAACCTGGCACGTCGCAATATTTATATCATATTTATTTAGGTCTGATACGAAATGGCCAATATTGGCCCATTTCTTCGGAAACTACTGGATAAGGGGTTAAACATTTGAATAATCATAACAGAAGTCAAAATATTTTTAATAGTCGAACATTGGCTGAGGGTATACATCTGTCGGCAAAACCGACCGATACTTTTTTACTTGTTTAAAACAATTTTTAATATTTTACACGTGATGGCATTTTCGAAATCATTCTTAAACAATTGTTCAATTTGTTTAACGCAAATCCAATATACTAGCAGCTAATTGTATTTTGTCCACCCTTAAAAGATGAGGGGAATAACAAATGATACGATGACGCCATATAATGGGAATTTCAAATTTAGTTCAGCCCAGAGAACTAGACCAGGAAACGAACAAAAACAACCATGGCTGGGATTATTTTTTGTATCACTCACACACCGCCAATCGAAATTATAATCATCGCCTTCTTTTTTTTTTCTGCTCAACAAATGGATGTTATTACAGACACTTAGATGTCTAAAACTAAATTTGCTTCATCAAACGATGCAATAAAATAAAATGGAATAAAATATGAAATGAAATGATATCGCCAACCTTTGGCAGCAGCGGCTGCCAGTGTTGGATAAGTGTGATGGTTATGAATAATTTTGGTTACTGGGTCGCAACGATGTCGGTTCCACTTCCAACAGAAAAAAAAATAAAACAGAACTCAACGATGGCAACAGAGCTGCCAGCGGAACGTTCAAATCAAAGTCATCATTGGTGGGATGGACGGATTATCACAGTTGTGGTCGTGTCGCGTCGCCGTGTGGAGAGAAATTCTAAGAGGAGAAGAAGAAGCAGGCGGGATGAGGATGCCTGTCGCACATGAATGTCGTGGACATCCATGGGGTTGGGGTTAGTTCGAAATGAACATTAAATCTAAATTCAGTGTCAACGGAAGTAATATTTCTTACAAACAATTACCGCTAAAGACGTGAAAAGACGACATGCAAACTGTTTGTTAGGTCAGCCTGCCAGCCTGCCAGCCAGCCAGCCATCCAACTGGCAGCCGCAGCAGCAGAAGTCGCCTTAGAAATGTCTAAATGTAGGATGCTGATGAGGTCTAGTTCAGATGCATATGAATTAAATGGAGATAAAATACTAGCAACAAAACCACATTTCTCCGACAATGCCAACTAACTAATTAATGCGGACAAAGAAAAACATGAAGTTCGGCCAATGCCGCCTCAAATGTCTAGTCATATCCAGCATAAACTTGAATCAATTTGAATTTGAAACCCCTAGCTGGGGGAGGAGAGGAGGAGATATAACACAACTATACTACCATCTAGTGCCCTGTAAATGATGTGTCTATTTTCTTCAATCTCACGAACGCCTACGCACTCCGTATCCAATTTGTGAGAGAAATTAATGGAAGATTACTTGAGCCAAATGCCAAAGAAAATAATGCCACATATGAAGTTCATCAGAATCATAATCATCATCAGCATTGGAAAACCTCCAAAATTATACAGCAATTTATGGTTGTTGTTGTTGTTGTAGCAGTATTACACGTTCTGTTGTTTTTTCCGACTAATCTGGTTCTTCTTCAAAGTCCAGG